GCCTTTTTTTTTTTTTCCTAATGTAAATAGAGGGACAAAGCAATAGTGCATTTGCCACTGGGGACAAGTAGAAGAAAAACCAGAAGGTAGCCAGAAGCAAATGGGGGTTGATGGCAGGCAGGAAAAGGGAAGATAGAATCCTTATAAATATAGAAATAGGTCAGCATTTAATACTCTTTAAAAATACAGGAATTGAATTTGAAACTGCAGTAAAATAGTATCACAGTTTGGAATCACAGTAAAAATGTAACAATTTTCAAGGGCCATTTTCAATTTTTTTTCTGATTCAAGAGTCTGGGAGTAGACTCTAGCAGCTGTTAGAATTCTAGCTTTGGATACTGGGCTAATTGATGAGAGTGCTCATCCTTCTAACATCCCTTTCTCTTGGGGTTTCTGGCTATATCATGATAATCTGGCCAGGAATATCTGTTCATCTCCCTTAAGGAGCACAATGTTAATTGTCTACCCAATAAATGTTTCCTTTTTTTTTCTTGCTAATAGAACTACCAAAAAAGAAAAAAATCAGAGTCCCAATATAGTTATTTAGGTAGGGCCATACCTAAAGGAGAACTTCCATCCTGAGTCAGACGTGAGTAGAAGAGACTCTTCCTTTTATAACCAGAGATTACCTTCATTAATAATTGTTTGAGAAATGCTAATATTGAAGTGACTTTTGATTCTTTTTTGTCATGGATTTCTATCTATTCTTCCCATCTCTCATGTTAAACTGTTTCTCACAAACAAACAAATAAACTGAAACCCCCCCACCTACATTTTACCCCTCCACATAGAACATAGGTTTTTTGAGAGTCAGTCTTTTGATCTCAGAGAGGATAAAACTCCTCCTAGTCCCACAGAATAAACAATGGTTGGCCTTAAAGCAGTCATGGTAATTCTACTCACTGCACCTAATGATTGGTCTGGGGTAAGCATATATATTAGTTTTCCATTGCTGCTGTTAACAAATTACCACAAATTTATTAGAAGTTAGGTGTGGCTTTATTGGTTTCTCAGCTCTGGTTCCATAAAGACAAAATCAAGATGGCAACTAGTTAGGCTCTTATCAAGATGCTCTGGGAAGGATCTGCTTGTAAACTTATTCAGGTTGTTGCCAGAATCTAATTCCTTATGGTTGTAGGATGAGGCTCTCTTTTCTTATTGGCTGTAAACTGGGTGACTAAAGGTATTTTCACAGTCCTGGCATGTGAACCATTACATTTCAATAGAAATGTTAAACTCTTCACACTTGGAATCATTTTGACTACTTTTGCTTCATCCCACCAATTCTACCTAGAGTAAGTGCTCTACTTATAATGAATTGTATGATTAGACTGGATAAAGAAGATGTGGTTTTTCTATAAAATGGAATACTACTCAGCCATAAAGAATGAGAAGTTAGATTCATTCATAGGAAAATGGATGCATATTGAGGATATACTCCTAAGTGAAATAAATAAGTCACATGTGTAAATACTGAATAGTTTCTCTGGTGTGAAAAACTATAATAGTACACAAGATCCTAATGAGATAATTAACAATGTGAAATAGGAAGAAAAGGGCTAAAGGTGTAGGGAAAGTGGGAAGGGTAGGGGAAAGGGAATAAGGGAAAAGAATAAAATATGAGAAAATGAAAAAATGGAAATAAAGTGTTTGTAAATGGGGAGGGGAGGAGGGGGTGAAGGGAGGTCAGGGACAATGGGAAAAAATGAGAACCAAGACGTGTCATGTAAAGGTACAAGATCCCAATAATGAATGTAACTGTACTGTGTACCTGAAATTATCAATAAACTCAATAAAAAGAAAAAAAAATTAAAAATAGATTGGATAATTGGATAATCTAGGATATTCCAAAATTTGCAAACTTAATTGCATCTTCTTATTCATGGATTGAAGAGATTGGAGTCTGAATATCCATTGGGCCTATCGTTCTGTCTGCCATAATATGCAACTGATGGGCAGTTAAAAAAAAGAGAGAGAGAAGCCTATTGAGAGATTCATCTTCTGGATAAAATTACGGAGACCAAGTTACTCTTTATTTCCAGCAAGAGATGCTGGTGTGGAGACCAAACATACAGAGTTACAGTATCTATATCGTGACCAGGAAACAATAGGAAGGAGGATAAAAGTTAATATACCAACAATGGTGAAGCAGGAGACTAGAAAGTACCTGGATTCTTTATGATGTTATTGAGCAGCAGAACAAATGCCAGTGATTGTTTTTCTCTTCTGTGTGGCTTGTCATTTCAGGAAAAGTTATTATTTGTTTAATTAGCCCAGTTTTCTGTTGCTGGCAACTAAAAGCAATTCTAAATGGTATAGTCATCTGTAACTCTACTTTTCAGTGTTTGAAAATGTAGTGCTGGCTCATCTGATTAAATTTGTTTATACTATGTTATCATGCACAATAAATATCCTCAGTGATGAGTCCAATCATAGCTTAACCTTAATTACAGAATTGGTGAAAAGTGTCCAAGAGTTGGCAAACTATACCCATTAGAAAAGTCCTACCAACCTAAGTAGCGAGAGCTAAGAAAAGTTTTTACATTCTTAAAAGAGTTTGTTAGAAACAAAAATATGTGGCCATAGGGTTGAAAACACTTACTTTGTCCTTTACAGAAGAATCTTGCCAACCCCTGCAGTCACACAGAAGACTCTTCTCATAAAGTTGAGATAAACAAGGAAAAATGAGAGTCATTAGGTCAGTATTGAATACTTTTGGAAAATTATTATAGATCACCATGTAAAAGCTTTGGGCACAAGCAAAAATGAATTCTATCTCTAAATTCAGTTCCTTTGCATTTTAGTCCAGTTTATTAAATTCCTATTATTACAAGATGATGAAAGACAATGGGGTTATATAATTAATAAAACAGAGTCTCTTCCATGTAGCTGAAGATTGCTCAATTGTTTCCGGAAGGAATGGTTTATACACTACTTCAAGAAAAGATAAAGTCCTACATACAAAAGATTGAATACATTTTTTTTTTCTTTTCTGTTTTGGTGGTGCTGGAGACCAAAACTAGGACCCTGCATACAACAGAAAAGTGTTCTTAGGCTGGGCCTTGCGGAGCACATCTGTAATCCCAGCACTTGAAAGGCTGAGGCAGGGGCAATGACAGGAGTTTGAGACCAGCTGCGACTACAGAATAAATTCAAAACCAGCCTGAACTGTATAGTAAAAAAAAAAAAAAAAAAAAAAAAAAAAAAAATGTTATTCCACTGAGCCATATACTCAGACTTTATCATGTTATATGTAAGAGAAGAAGGTTAAACATAAAACCTGGTGTGGGGGTGTTTACACAAAACCTGAGGGATTGTTCATGTTTAATTAGGGACAGAGGGAGGGAAAACTCTGAAAGCAAGAGATTAAAATGTATAAAGAGAATGAAAAGTAGTTCCATGGAGGCTTAAAAATTCAAGTTTTAAAAATTTTACTATCTTCAAGTAGAACACATGCTGAGATGAAATAATTGAATTTGGCCAGTAGGAGATAAGGGGATATTTTACAGTGTGACCCAATTTGGTAGCCACCAACTATATGTGGCCATTTGAATTTAAGTTAATTAAAACAGTAAACTTTTAAAACTTCAAAATTTGTGGTATTAGCCACATTTGAAATACTCAAAAGCCACATGCTGCTATATAGTGATGATGAACCTTTTAGAGATAAATGGCCATCCTGCAACCCAAAGCCCACTTATTTATTGCAAAGTGCCAACACCAAAATTAAACCTGAATATTGGGGCCTTAATTTAGAAAAACCACCCATATGTTAATATCTTTTGTCTTAAAAGAAAAACAACATGCATGCCATAGGTTGCAACCACTGGTTTATCATATAGGACATTTCAGGTTACAAAACATTTCCATTTCTGCTGAAATTTCTATTGGGATATATTTTTGAAAGCGTCAAGGAAAGATAGCAATGAGGTAGAGTCAAGATATTTTGTTTCCCATCACACTCCACTAGTTTGCAAAGTCTAACTGATCTGACTTCGCCAGCTTGTCCTTGTCTCTTCATTTTTGCTATTGTTTTGGTTTCACCTTTTATTTCCTGGACTATTGCAGTGGCTGCCTATCTGCCTTCCAACTTCTGTTCTCTCCTCCTTCTAAGATGTTCCCAACAAAATTATTCCTCTACTCAGCAACACTCTCTTACCTGTGCCACTTTCTCTGGTCAGCTGGCATGAACTTTTACTGATTCCTCTGCAATGGGATGCCCATAAAGGTACCAGTATGTATACTATAGGGTACCCCCCCTCATTTCCTTCCATACACTCACAGAGCTCATAATCCAATGCAGAAGGTGATTTATATTGTAATATTAGAGCAGAAACAATTACCAATCTTCACTCTCTCCTGTCTTTTTAACGAAATCGTTTATTTCCTTGGTGACTGACTGTTCCACTTAATACAGTTAATATTTCATCACTTTTTGCTTTACCACTGAAATAGTCATCTTCTAGACTCTCCTCCCACCTTCCATAAGAAGCTCTGATCGTGCCACTCCATTTCTCTAATCTTTCCCGGATTGTCTTCTAATGATTTTATGATACCCTTCCCCTCCATCTTGCCTTCTTTCACATTCTTCCACACATCTTCCTATTATTTTCTGCTGCTCACCATTCCCCCTGGCACGTGCATGTAGTCACTTTCTTCCTTACTTCCCAAATGATGGCATCTTTCCGACCCGAGGTCCTCTCCCACACCTTCAGATTCAGGATAAAATACAAAGACACCAAGGTGGGCAGGATATTATTGATAGGCCAGAAAGACATAACCTGTTTGATCTTGACCATTTTGGGAGAGAATACAAATAAGCTGCACTCCGAACCATTACCATTCACCTAATATGACTACGGAATTTTTACTCCCGTTGAGTACAGTTTACAAAGGCCCTTTGATCGCCAAAGAATGAAAAGCACAACGTTGGAAAGCGAGGGGCATCATGGGAGGGCTGTTCGTCGTCCCTTAGACTCATGGGAAATGTAGTGCGGCTGTCACCAACATGGCCGCGCCCAGGTGAGCTGGTGTGCAAGTACTTTCCCCGACTTTCTGGGGCTAGACTGGAGAGGCTAGCGAAGGAGGGAGAAGCAGCATTGTGAGAACTTGGTCTAAGTCGAGGAAGAGGTTTGTGGAACCTTTTGATGGCCGGCACGACGGACTGCAAATCCCTACTTCCGCTTATCAGCCTCTTTCAGTCTTTTCGGCTTAGCGGGAGTGGGACTGAGAACCCAAAAGGAGAAATAATCCACGCTGTGCCCTGGTGTAGTCTGGACAGTAGCGTGTGCGTTAGGTGAGTCTGTGAGTGTGTACGGTGCACGTGTTTGTGTTGATGTTACTGCACCTGTGTTGTCTGCGTTAGTCTGTTTTATTCGGGGATGGAGGCGGGAATTTGCAACCTGGGACGTTTTAGTTTGGCGCTGCTAAGGGTTTTTTTTTACCAGTGTCAATCCAATGAAGCAAAGTGTCAATCCAGTGAAGCAGACATTCCTGTTGCCTTGTTACCAACGCATCTGAGTCTTCCTGTGCTTTTTTTGAGCAAAACTGTACTGTGATTCTTGGGTAGGGAGATGTCAGCCTGTGCTTTTGACTGATTTCATTGAACATTTATTGACTCTCAAGTCAGTGCCTTTAAGTAGATGACGGTCTCTGAGTTAGCCCAACGCACCAACAGGTAATTATAATACAATATGAAAATTTCTGAGATAAACACTAGGTTTTAATGAACACGTTGAAGAAGGCCACCAAACAATTCTCGAAGTGGAGTTTAAGAGCTAGGTGGGCACATTCTACTTAGGTTTATTAAACAAATACTTAATGAGTGGCTTCCAGCTATAGATTCTGTTCAGGTGCTGAGTGATACAGGGTGAATAATACAAACAAAATCCCTCTTCAAGGATGGACTTAACATTAAGTTATAGAAAGTGTACTTCAAAACTTAGAAAGGGATGATGTGATATATGATGGAGTGAATTTTTCCTGCTTGTTTAAACCTTTAATTTCTTTTAAAATAGGTAGTACAATTTGAATGGCAAGTAAAATTCACAATTCATGGAAGAGAAAAGTTTTCATTTCACAACTTGTCTACCCAAGTCCTCTATCTGGAGGCAACCCATACAACAAATTTGTGTTCTAAATATTTATATGTATTTGTATACCTGTGCTGTACTTTAAAATCAGGGCTCTTTTGGTAGGTATTTAGGTTTTTTCTAATCATTGCTGTTAATTATAATTCACATACAAACACAGGAACATTTTTCTGTACTGTTTGGTTCACAATAAGCTATTATTCAAGGACACACGTACTGCAATTGCCATCTAGGGGAATATTTTATGGAATGTATGGGCAGGGTAAACTAGCAAGCAAATAACAGAGTATGTGTATTCTTCAAATTCTTATCCTGCAGAAAATATGCTCAGGCTGGAGATGGCAAACCTGAACCCAGTATGGCCAGTATCCTACCTACTAAATAGTAGCCTTACTTTCATACTGTGGCAAGGAGCACTGAAGCATCTGTGTGGAAACTCCTTGTCTAGAAAAGTGGCCTTAATAGAGAGGGGTTGAGAGACCTCAGCAGCTGGTACCAGCCTGTTCCTTGTTTAAATGACTCAAATCTAGTGGGTCATTACATTTCCAAGTCAAGGAAATGGTGGTGATGGGGGCTTGAGGCTCTCCAGAATTGGCTTCACTTGCAACACTGATAGTTGATAGAGAGTGAAAAAGAAAATGGAATACCAAAATGTGGTTAAGAGGCTCCATCTGCTGGTGCTGGTCTTTTAGTGGCAGTCTTTTAAAAAGATTTATTCAACATCTTTTCTTTTCTTCCACTTTGCAGTCTTTGTTCCTGTGAAATATTACGAAGTTTTTTTTAGCCCACTCATCCCTTGTTTTTCATGACATACTGCAAAGTTGATTTCACAGATAGATACCTTAAAATTGAATAGCTGTAAAATAGTTCTTTTGAAAACCCTTAGCTACTTTTGTTTTGTTACATCATTTTCATCTGGCTCTTCTAAAACTTAACAGTAATGTAGTAATAAATAAATTTCATTCTTCTTAATGTGAAATAGGAAGAAAAGGGCTAAAGGAGTAGGGGAAGTGGGAAGGGTAGGGGAAAGGAAAGAAGGGAAAAATATGAGAAAAGGAAAAAAGGGAAACATTGTCTTTGTAAATAGGGAGGCAGGATGGGTGAAGGGAGGGAAGGGGAATGGGGAACAAATAAGAATGAAGATAGATCATGTAAAGGTACAAGATCCCGATGATGAATGTAACTGTACTGTATACCTAAAAAGTACCAATAAATTCAATGCAAAAAAGGGAAAAAATAAATTTAATTCTTCTAACAAAGCTCTTAGAGGCATTATTGTTCTCCTTATCTATATTTACAGAAGCTGAAGCATAATTAACTCAACTAGGATCATACAGCTAGCATGTGGTGGAGCTAAGAAAACTGGAACTTGGACTCCTGAGCACTGTGGTATGCTGTTTCATAGCACTGGAAGAGGCTCTGGGTTAACTCTGAAAAGAATGATTTAATCCCTGTCCTCAATCTGCTCATAGTCTGGTGGAAGGGGACAGATATTAGAACAATTATTATAAGCAGTACAGTGTTAGACACATCCAATCAGTTATCTCTTTCCTCTGTAATGATGACTCCTAAAGTTTTCTAACCTCATTTCTTTTCTTAGAAGCCACTACATTTTGTCACATGCTGTTCAGTCATTGCAACTGTATGTCTCACCTGTTCCTTAAACATTGTGTTCTAAATCTGACTCATTACCGCCCTTCCTAAATGGCTCTTCCTCCTGACTTTCCAGGTCTGAAATAATATCATGAGTCCCTCAATTACTCAAGCTCTCTCCTGTTAGTAAGTGATCTTTGATTCCTCTCTTCCTCACATCTGAGTAGTCATGAAGGCCCATTGATTCTACCTCAACTCTTTTTTTTTCACCCTTCCCCTCTCCTTATTTCCTTTCCACTTGTGAGTAAAGTGTAGATCAGGCCAACATTTCTACTTGCTAGGCTGGATTATTTCAGGGCTTCTGTCTAACCTTCCTGCTATGCTGTCCCACCAGTCTATCTTACTGGCCTTATCTTCCAACACATGTGTCGATGAATTTTCTCTGCTTTAAAAATTTATGTCTATTGTCTTTACCAGATATGTCAAATTCTGTCTTAGATTCTTCTCTTTACCACCTCACTGAAAATCTTTTCCATGTGATTTATGGTGTTCTTGTCCTATAGTACTGAACATGAGTTGGCTTCTGGTTTGAAGTCTTCCCAACTTTTCCAATTAACATTGATCTTGTTTTTTGTTCTCTGGCTGATGTCACACCTAATGACCACATCATTTATAATTAATTATAAAAAGGTGTGTCGTATGATTTCATTGTTTGGCTTTTGTTCTCCTTAATAACTTACAAACTTGTTGAAAGCCCGTGATATGTGTGCTGCAGGGTGCTGAGACTAATAGACGTGTGTATTCACTCATTTGTCAGTTATCTCTTCAACAAATGTTTACTTTGTATGCTGGGCATTCCCACTCTTTGAGTATGTACCATGACAGGGAAGTTAAGCTAACAGATAAGTCGTCATAAATTATGCTATTCTGTGTATGAGATCAAATTGGCTACTATGCTAAATCAAGATGTAGGGTGCAGATTTGGAGTGATTATAAAGGCCTCTTTGGGAGTACTTAGTAACTACCTGATGATGACATATTTCAATAAAGTGAAATAAGAAAAAGTTCTTATTTCTGTTATTTAAAAAACTGTAGATATAAAGATATATAACATGCACAGTTTTAAAAATAACAAAACCAACTATACCTACTGTCTAGAATAAGAAATATCTGTGATGCTCCTGTATGTCACCTCTCATAATAGTTTTCTTTCCCTCCCCCCTTAGAAATAGCCTCTTTCCTGAATTTTTTATTATTATTTTCATGCTTTTCTTTTTTAGATGCATTAAATGATATATGGCTTGCTTTCAGATGTTGAGCTTTATTATCAGTGGAATCATACTGCATGTGCTGTGACTTCTTTACATTGTTTCTTCCCCTCTTCTTCCTCTTCCTCCTTATCTTGGTTTATTATAATTGTGAAATTTGTCTATGATATGTTTTATGCAGGACTTCATAAGTAATGATGTACCCTACCTATAGGAAAACAGCACTTTTTTTCTTAAATGTGATACTAGGAATTAAAACTAGGGACTTTGCACTGAGCTATATCTCCAGCCCTTTTTATTTTTTATGCTGAGACAGATCTCATTAAGTGGTTGAATTGCTCAGGCTGGGCTCACTTGTGATCTTCCTCCCTTGGCCTCCCAGATTGCTAAGATTATAGGCATGTGCTGTCATGCCTGGATTAAAAACAGGAAGCCACACATAGGAACATATCTTAGAACTTTCAGAGGTGTTATTAGATGCTCTTACTTCTTTGTTACCTTAGATATTCCTTTATTTCCATGTCTGTTCTCACCTCTCTGGATTGGTGAAAGGTAAACTAAGGATTTTTTAAAAATAAGTCATATGGAAAATTTATAAACTGTGAATATAACATTATAATTATTTCTTTAGGACTCTTAAGCTTGACATTCTAACTTCTTTTTATTTCATAGAATTGCTATGGAGATGAACTATCAAAGTAATTTCAAACTCAATAAAACTGAGAAGAAGTTGTTAAGGAAACAAATTAAAGCCAGGCATACTTTGCTGAGACATGAAGGTATTGAGGCAGTATCCTATGCTACTCAGGTGACCTAAAACTCTTGTTACCATTTTGATGTAATTGTATCAGTGTTAATATTTTTAATAATTGCTCAAAACTGGTTGGCCCATCATGTGTTTCAGCCATATTGAATATACTATGATAAAAAACCTAACTTTGTATTGTAGGTCATATGCTAGGCTGTGGTTTGAATTTTTATTGATCATATTGGTTGAACCAGAGGAAGTTGTGGGTATACATCAATTATAACACTGTAAAGTCTTTTCAGTTGATAAAGTGTGCTTATGTTCATTGTTATATTTAATCTTCTAAAAATCTTTATGAGATAGGTTAGAAAGCTAAAGTTTTAAGGGGTTATGTGTTCATTGGCATAAAGTAGTAAGTGACTGTGCAGAAACATAAAGCTAGTACTTCTAGATCCTAGTATTATCTTTCTGCTCTTCCCAAACTCACCTGTATTATAAAGTATTTGGGTTGTGTACTCTTAATACATTTTTTATTTATTAGGGTTTACTCACAGAGCCTTTTCATTACCTTATGGCATCGATTAAATGAAATTATGTATGAGGGACTGTGAGTTTTCCTGTGCTGTGATTTAGGAGCTCACTTTGCTTCTCCACTTATTTATACATGCATGTACAATACATACAATTTATACTTAGTGTACAACGTGGTATGCAATATTTTTTACTCTCCTGGATGGATAGATTCTAAAGAGAGTATGTGACAGTTTTATAGACATAAAATACTTAATGACAAAAAGGAAGTCTTAGGGGATTCTTTTTGGTTCATAAAGTTATAGAGTAAGAGTGGGAAGAAAGCTTAGATATCATCTGTCTGAGGGACAAAGATGTAGAGCTAGGCCTGAAACTTTGGTGTCTTGATTTGCAGACCAGTACTCTTTCTTTAGGTTTATCTCTTGTCTGCATCTTAGCTTAGGAATAAGCAGTCTGTTGATGGACATTTGAGGTTAACAGGTAAAAAGTTCATACTTGGAGTTGGATATTGATAATTTTAGAGAATGTAAGTCAAATTCATATTTAAAAGGATGGGCTAGATGATAGATTTAGTATGTTTGCACTCACTCACCCTTTCAGCCAAGAGCCACTGAGGCTGAGGCATTCAGACGATTAAACTGATATACCGTACTCCCATCTCTTCAAGAATAGCTTGGTTTCTTACTTACAGAACTCTAAGAGAAGTATAAGAAAAAATGGGCTAAGTTTCTTTGCTCTTCTGAAGCTTGTTTCTGGTTGAGTCTTTAAGATCCCCAGAAGCTTTAATGTCACCTTTATGGGCTCCAAAGCGACATCTCACCTGCGCTCTATTTTCCTCCAGAATACTTCTAAAGGAAAAGAATAAAATTTTAGAGGGATCTCTAATTATATTTTATTAATCTATGGAGAACAAAAATTATTTTAATGATGTTTTACAGATACAGGTGACTTTGTGAAAATTTATAGCATAAGATTTTTTTGTTTTATTTTTTCAATATGCTTTTTTACTAGTGCATATTAATTTTACAAAATATTGGTATCATTGTGACATTTTCTTACATACATATAGCATTTTTAATGCATTATAAGATTTTTCTAGAGCAGTGTTCCTCAAATTATCAGGACTGAAGATTACTTCAAAAAAGTCTGAATTTTCTACTTCATACTTACTGCTTGGAAATTTATTGAATGAACAATTATAAATAAAACAATTATTATGTTTAATTATATAATTTACATAATGGGGAAAATGTTGCTTCCTTCTCTCTCCAATCACACTCATTTGAAAGCATCTTTGAGTGCTGATACTGTTCCTCAAGTTACACCTCATCATCTTTCATTCCTAGATGGGGCAGTGGATTCTTGATATTTATGAAATGTTTGTAATTTCTTAGTGTGGTAATGTGAACTATATATTTTGTTTCTGTCCAGTTTCCTGGCGTATAGCACCAAAACTCCTAAAATCTCTGGCGTGAAAAGAATATCTTCTTTGTATTTAATGAAACCACTGTTGGCAGGGGCAGCTCAGTAGCTTCTGCATGGGAGCATGTCATCGGAGAGACCAATCCATGTTGGAGAGTTGGGACTTTCAGTCCTGCTCCCTCCTGAGAGCAGAGGTTGAGATGAACAAAAATGGCCAATATTTAACTATTCATACCTACATAATGAAGCTTCCATAAAAATGCAAAGGACAATTCTGAGGAGCTTTTGGACAGTTGAACATGTGCAGATTCCTAGAAGGTGGTGTATCCAGAGAGAGCATGGGAACTCTGTGTTCCTTCCCACAACCTTGCCTTATGTATTTTTTATATCTGTCTATTCGTCTCTGTCCTTTGTAAGATCCCTTATAATAATTGAGTGAGTATGAGTAAAATGATGGCCTGAGTTCTGCAGTTGCTCTAGCAAATTAATCGAACTTCAGGAGGGAGTCCTGGAAATCCTGATTCACAGCCATTCTGTCAGAAGTATAGGTGACAGCCTATGACTAGTGATGACATTTGAACTGGAAGGCACTCTTGTGGGACTGAGCTCACAGCCTGTGAGATCTGACACTGTCACCAGCTTAATAGTGTTAGAATTGAACAGAATTAAATTAGAGGACTCAGCTGGTGTCTGCTGGAGAATCTTCTGTAGAACTAATTTATTGCTGATGGGGAGAAGTCCCACAGATTTTCATGACCAGAAGTCACAGAAGTAGTTCTTATTGTGTTGTACCGAGTATATGAGAATAGGAAAAAGCACCTTGGTTTGCATTTTTCCTCTATCTGTCTGACTTAGATTTAGGGATATGGAAATATTTTTGTAACTGGCATCCTATAATAAAATTATTTTGTTATTTTAATTTAAAAACCTTATTGAATGTTATGTGACTAAATTTTACACTATGTAGCACATTATTGTAGTAGTTTTTAAATTATTTATATCCTTGCATATGACCCACGACAGAACAAAATTTAGTGGTCATTCTGTTTAAGCACATTGTTGGTATTCTCATTTTGTATAATAAAACTAATACAATATGTACTAATCTTTAGTATAAATCGGGTTAGCATCTACTGTCTTTAGAACAAATCTGACTCATGTGCAGAGTGAATTTTACATTTTGAAAGCTCACTAAAATGTAAAATCAAGTCTGTGTTACAGAAACTGAAATGGCCTGTGAAGCTTTAAAATATTTATTGTCTGACTTTTCAGAGGCAGGAGCAGTGCCACTGAGCTACATCTCCAGCCCCTTCTGACTCTTTTCAGAACAACTTTTCCAATGCGTAGTACAAATGATGAAATTGTTGAGCATGGGTCATTTATGGTTTACTTTTGTTATACTACAGTTTCAGAACTCATAGTCATAAAACAGTCTTTATGGTGTGTAGAAAATGATATAGAGACTGTAAGCACACTGGCATAAACACGTGAGTAAAGATAAGAGGATGCTGCCACCCAAAATCCCTTGAATAGACTTTGGCAAATAACAAGAAGTACGAAACTTACAAAGGAAAACTTTTCTTTATAAACTGACTACTTAAACTGTATTAATTTACTGAGGCAGGAAAATTTCATATCTAATGTTCATCAGAGCCTAAAATTGATTTTTCTTGGTTCCAGTCTTTTTTAGTAACTAAAAAAATGTGGATTCTGAAAATAATATAAATAGGTTTGAAGCTCAGCTCCCTGTAATCACTGCCTTAATCCAGTTGTTCTGATCTTCAATTTCTTCCTTTATAAAGTAGGTCTTATTACCCAAATGAATTTACCTGTATTGTTTAATGACTTACGTGCTTAACGATTCTGTGGCTTTAAGATCTGTTCTGACTTACAACCTGCATTTGGACCTATATTACAGGAATGTAAGTGGCAGTGAGGGCTTACAATAGTTTCTCCTACAGTAATAGTACTGTAATTTTTGTTGACTATCCTATACAGTACAGTACTGTGGTTTTATGTTTTGTTATATGTTACTGTACTGCATGTAAGAGTTATGCAAATAAAAGCAAAGTCATATCCTTTGATCGTTTTTTTTGTTTTGAATATTGTAATATGCAAACTATGTACCGTTCCTTATTTATCAACCAATTCATTGAATGACCTAGCTGCAGGACTATAACTTGGTTCTTAAACAAGGAACATCTATACGTCTTTGTGAAGTTCATGGAGGTTAAGTAAAAGAATGTAGAACATTAGTTCTTTGGCAGAAAGCAAGTATTATATAACTACTTTTTTTTCCCCCATCCTCCCTCTTTTCTTCCCTTTTATTGTGTAAATTGGTATTTCTGAAAAATATAAATAATCTTTTAATTTGCATTAGTAAGAAATCAATATTTTATAAATAGGCTATTTTAAATTAGATGTTATTTACAACATGGGAGTACTTTTTATTCCTCAAATATTTAATACATTGGTTTGCATATTTTGTATAAAATTAGCAAACCAAATCACCACAGGTAAACACCTTTTCCTTTTAATTACATCTTTGTGGAAATGTTATTTTGAGATAATCCTATTTAATTTTATATTTAAACAAACAGGTTGATTAAATTGTTCATGTTACTTTCTTTTTTTTGTTTTCTCAGAGCCTGGTTGTTGCCAATGGTGGTTTGGGTAATAGCATGAGTAGGAAGCAACTGCTTCCAGTTTTAGAGAAATGTGGACTTGTGGAAGCTCTCTTAATGCCACCTAACAAGCCCTACTCCTTTGTAAGGTACAAAACCACAGAAGAATCCAGGAGTGCTTATGCTTCCCTCAATGGAAAAGAAATAGTGGATGATTTAGGACAAAAGGTCATTCTATACTTGAATTTTGTAGAAAAAGGTATCATGAAATTATTTATCTCTTAAATAATAGTTCTTGCTTTTGTCTGAGCTTTCTTTGCATAGACATAATTGAGAGTTCAGTTATTTGTTTGTTTGTTTGTTTATTGGTACCAGAAATTATTTGTTTGTTTATTTATTTATTGGTACCAGGAATTGAACTCAGGGACTGGCACTTTCCAGGCAAACACTGTACTGCTAAGCTGTATCCCTGGCCCCAGAAGTTCAGTTATTGTAGAATATAAAAAGGACATCAGTTAAGCAGTCCCTTTTATGAAATGTTCTTTAAGCATCTGTTACCTACTTTGGAGGCTTCTTGTCTAATTGTGCTTTTCAAGTTCAGTGGTGAGGATTTAGATCAATTTATCTTATATTGTCTACATGGAAACTTTGAATTAGTCACTTGAGAATTTAACTGCGATCCAAGTGATTGTATGTCAGTCTTCATATTCATGGAGGGGCACACTTAGTGGCTAGAGATCCCTGAAACTTTGTACTGGTGCTATATAATAAACTTTCAGTATGACAAAAATATTCAGGTCTGTGCTGACCAATATGATAGCTACTGGGTAGTGAAATGGAAGAACTAAATACTTTAGTTAATTTAAGTAATAGTTTTACAGTATTGTTTATGGGTTTATTACATTTTTATCCCCTCTACACATGGAAATGAGATGTGTTGAGATGAATTTTGATTTAGACATCTAATCTTATATTCTTTTGCCATTGAGCTCTCTTTAAATATCTTGGGGATAGGCAGATGAGTGAAAAATGATCAAATTTATGTTTTTTTTAAAAAGAACAACTTTTAAAATATTCTAAAGATATATTTAGAAATATCTCTCAGTGTTCCTATGTATTTAATTTTAAATTTGACTTAAGTTTCACAGATTTTAATAACTGCGCACTTTAATTGTTCTGATCAGGTTTTGAAAACTGAATGGTTCAGGGGCAAGTTTTTTTTTTTTGGTACTGGGGATCAAACTTGGGTCCTTGTGCTTGTGAGGCAGGCGGCAGAACCACTGAGCTAAATTCCCAGCCCAGGGGCAAGTTGTAATAAAAAAAATATTGCCCTTGAATTTCTGACAATTCAGGATGTGGAACACTCAGTAAGAGATTGCACAAAGTGAGTTTGGGAGTATTCTTCATAAATTCGTTAGGTTCAAATGTACTTCTAAGTCTGAGGGAACCGCATTTATAACCTTGGAAATCATTTTTTAATTGAGAATAGAATTTTGTACCAACTGTTTTGATACCTACTTCCAGATAGCCACTGAGTAGAAAATACAGAAGATAGTTTAAGTTTATAAGATATAAAAAACAATTTAGAAAATGAAATATGAATTATTTGTACTATAAATTATTTGACTTTAGGAATTTTCCCCAGTTTTTCTTATACAATTTAAATAAATAGTATGATATTTGGCACATAAGTACTTAGTGTATATTTATTAAATAATTTACTATTTAAATTTCTGAAATATTAATAAGATCTAGTATATACTTAACTGGTTTTTTGGATATTAATATTAAACAAAAGGTAAATTGTCTAGCTGAAAAACTTCAAAAATCGTTTCTGTAATGTGAGTGATCAGCTCTCTAATAGTAAATGTGAATAGACTATTCCCTTTATCTGATAGAAAATTCTTTTTTCTTTCTGCACCTGTCTAAAATTCTGAAGGTCACAGGAACTTATTTTAATATATATTAAATAATTCTTCGTAAGTATTATTTTTAATTTATTTACAAAGTTGAATGTTATTTTAGATTTTCTGTTATTTGACCACAGTATTAAAACCCCAAGAACAAAAAGGGCATTTAAATTCTTGTATTTAACATTCAGAGACAATTTTGACTTTTTAAATACAAGTGCATATAGTATATATTGTGAGAAATCATATCTTTTAGTGAGATTTGAAAAGTGACACAATCATTTTCAAGTAGAATACTTAAGTGCTACTCTATTTGCTGCAAAGAACTTCGATGAATAAAATGTACCATAAATGTGATTTTTTGGCAATTTTAATATGTGTGTGCCTGTTGGAATTCTTATTGCAGAAAGTGAGGATTAGGAGTTTCATGAAGTGATAAATGGCTGTTGGACAGAATTATTTGTGTATAAGAACTTAAGTTTTTATATGTGACTATTTTAATTTTGTTGCCCTTAGTGCAGTGGAAGGAGTTGGGGCATCAAGTCTTACCTCCAGGTCTCACAGTAGTTGAAGAAATTATTTCTTCTGAGGATGAGAAAATGCTTTTGGAAATTATTAATTGGACGGAAGATACAGACAATCAAAATTGTAAGTACAATTTTCAAAATATGGTATTTAAAACTTTTTACAAAATTTAATGGTACTACTCTTTTCTTCCTTTCCCCCTTTGGTTTATTAAAACTCTTAATATTTCCTCAAGATCATTGAAAGTATTCTGAATCCAATGTTAGACAAATCATACTAGCAATTCTTAGGACATGAATAATAGATCTGGTAATATTTATATAGCTATCAATTTTGAACTCCAAACTGATGGATATTTATTAGCCAATATTTGTGTAGCTGACTTGTATAAGTTTTTTCACTTGTATTATCTTCTTTGCTATCCTCTACCCTAAGGCGCATTTCCTCTGTGGAATCATCAGTGCGGAACTGTACCACTGTAATGTAGCCAGAGCCTCCTGGAGTTACTCTGACTCTTTCCTCTGCATGAGCAATCTCTAAAGTTGCAGTGTATGTGTTTATCTCTCTCATATTGATTAGGTGAAACTTTTTAAGTGTTAGTTGCAGTTTTAGACTTGCAGGAATAACAGATATGAACAGAATGGTAAGATGTTGTTAAAGACAGGAACTTAACAGAAGAAGCGTATCTGGTCCCAAGCACTTTGGATAAAGGATATTCAACATGTATTGTTTTACTACTATTTTTTAAAATACCAGAATTGTTGACTGAAGTTACTGTTACCAAACTAATCCTTACTGATTATGTTGCGTGAAATAAATGAAAGACTCTTTCTTTTTCTTCCAAATAGTTTGCTTTCTTCTCTTTACACAGTTCAAAAATCTTTAAAACACAGACGAGTAAAGCATTTTGGTTATGAATTCCACTATGAGAACAACAATGTAAATAAAGATAAGCCATTACCTGAGGGTAAGTAATTGTTAGTGAACAATAAATGCTGGTTTTGAAAAATTTTCATAATTGAGGGTATGTGTTTCATTTGTCATTGTGGGTAAACTTTCCAGACAGTTGATTAAATCTAAAGCATTTAAGTTAGAGAAGTAGTAGGATATAGTTGTTAGATAAATCACAATTAGATAAATGGCTCCTCTTGACCATCCCTGTTTCATATTTCTTCCCTCTTAGCAGTATGTGCTGTTAACACTATGGTGTATATTTTTCTAATCTTTTTGAAAAACCAATTTATATCCAGATATATGTACCTTTTAAAGTACATAATTTAGTATATATAGTATTAAATCATATGATATAAATTATATATTCATGTGTTACATGCATTATTCCTTGTTTTGTACACTACGTCTTAGAGATCTTATGTAGTCTTTCATTTTACTGAATGTCCCATAATAGCTTATTCAATTTGTTGCTTATTGATAGACAGTTAGTTATTTCTAATTTTTAACACTTACAAGGAGCACCACAGTAACTATTTTTGTATATTTGTTACTTAAGAGTGATTACTAAGTAGTAGTATCAAAAGTTATATTTAACAGTATACGAGTTGCTCCCCAAAATATCTGTGGCAACATAGTCTCACCAAGTGTGCATTCTTTCCTTTCACCCTTTCCAACACGTGATACTGTAAAAGTTTTACGTTTGTAATTTCCTGATTAGTAATGAGCTTCGCCATTTGTTTGTGTTTCCCTATCTATGAATTCCTTTTCATATTCTTTACCAGTTTTTTTTTTTTTTCCTGGTATCAGGGATTGAACTCAGGGCCTTGCACTTGCAAGGCTGCTCTGGTGCCACTGAGCAAATCCCCGGCCCTCTTTACCAGTTTTTAAAAATGGGTTGTCTGATTGATTTATTATATATTTTTGGCAGTAATCCTTTGGTATATTTCTTTGTTGGATTAAATTTTTTTATGAACTTTTTTTTTGTACCGGGGATTGAATTGGGACCTTGTTTTATTAGGGTGTTTGTTTTTTTTCATTAAGGCTATTGTTGTATACATTTATGACTCTTATTACACTTTGAAAAATATGGTATTTTTAAGGGCAGTGAAATGATGCAAAATAAGTGAAACGCTATAATGTAACAATAAAGAAAGTGGTCAATATATAATATAGGGTTGAATATCCTTAATCTGAAAATTTAAAATTCAAAATGCTCCAAAATCTGAAATTTTTGAACATTAATGTCCTAACGCTTTTAGGCTATGATGTATGTGTGTGTACACAAATATATATATATTAAACAAATGTGTTTCCTGTTTCAACTTGGGTCCCATCTCTAGGATGTCAATTATATATATGCAAATACTCCGAATTCCAAAAAAAAAGTTTAATTTGAAACATATCTGATCCCAAGCACTTTGGATAAGGGATATTCAACATGTATTGTTTTATTACTATTTTTAAGAATACCAGAAAAATTATTCTTTTGGGCTTTTCTAATTTTATAAAGTCAAAGATATAAATGAAAAGTTCTTAAGAAAGATTTATTTCTTAATTTCTTTTGCTTATGCTTTGATTTTTAAATTATTGGATCTGACTGCTGTATTAAAGTCTGTGGGATTTGTATTAGGGTGATTTCCCTCCTTGGGTAAAACATGCAAAGTAAATATTTTAATATGTGTTATCTTGCCTTTATGATTACTGACTTTAGGTCTTCCTGACCTTTGCGATAACTTTCTGGAGAAATGGTTGGCAGAAGGTTACATTAAACATAAACCTGATCAGTTGACCATAAATCAGTATGAACCTGGGCAAGGTAAGTATTTCCTCTTTTAAAATTTTAATTATGTATTTTAGAACCAACAATGTTATGTAACATTATAAGATCAAGGATACTATATTTTAGTTTAAACTAACATAGATTACTTTGCTTCTTTTCTTTTCTTTCCAAATCTTATTTATTGTAGTAGTGAAAATTGAACTGAAATACATACTCAGCCCTTTTAAAAAAAATATTATTATGAGATAGGGTCTTACTAAGCTTCTGAGTTACTCAGGCTGAGCTCAGACTTGTGATCTTTTTTTTTTTTTTTTTTCAGCTTTAATTGAGTTTATTGGTACATTTTAGGGATACAGTACAGTTACATTCATTGTTGGGATCTTGTACCTCTACATGACAAGTCTTGATCAGACTTGTGATCTTCCTGCCTCAGCCTCCGAGTAGCTGGGATAATTGATAAGAACTTTGCCCTTGATGTCTTGCAAATCTGCATCTTAGTCCCTCGAGAAATTCTGATCACAAAGTGCAAACAGACTGACAGCAGTTAGTTTGTGATGTTTTGTTGTTGTTGTTGTTTTGCTTTGTGCCTCTCTCAATACTTTATTTAGAAAGGGAGAGGATTGCTTGAAAAATTTAGGAGACGTATAACAGAATAACCAAATAATTACAGAAGGAGGGATCTTTTTCCTCTTTTTCTGTTTAAGAATATGGAATGCAACTCTAGGATGACATTAGTGAAAAATATTTGTTATAAACTTCTTGCATTTGTTAACATCTTCATCTGATATAGTAATCAAATGATATTTAAGAGTTTTGTAAATGGTAGTAGTTATAGTTTTTTCTTTTTCCCCTGCCTTTATCATGATGTACAAGATTGCTTATTTGCCTTACTTTCCACTGATGTCTAAATTCCTTGAGAACTGGGACTGTTTTGCTTTGTATCTTCTTCCATGTAGAAAAGTTTCTTTACTAAGACGTGTTCAATTAACTGATTGATAGATCAATGGAGGCAGCCATATCTTAATTATTGATGCACTTAGTCTTCCCTCATGGCTGATGCCTTTATTTTCCAAGGACCTGGGACTCTAGTGCTCAACGAAAAAAAAGACTGTTTATCTTCATGTTGCACCGGGATTGGATAAGTGTCCTAGTTAAGCAGTGATTTATAAGCCTTTTTTTAGAGTTAAATCCCAGTGGTACTTTAAGTTATTTAAAATATAAAGTAAAAATATTTTTAGTTTAGATTTAATTCAATTTTGTTTTGTCATATTTACCATGTTTATTTTTAGCTAAAATTATGGTACCTTCTTGATAACCAAGCAATGTTTTTACCACATTTACAGTATAGTCATTTTAAATCTACTAAAAGGAAAAATCAAGCAACATGTTATCCTATTTTCTATTTCAGGAATTCCTGCTCATATTGACACACATTCTGCTTTTGAGGATGAGATCGTTTCTCTCAGTTTGGGGTCAGAGGTAAATGTTTGTTTGTATTAGTTGTCAGCATATGTTTTACCTAGTACAGTGCACTTTTCGGAGGATTATGCACATTCTAAATTAGAATGAATTAAAATTTCTAAATGAAAAATAATGGCATTCTTAGCACTTTCATTTCTTGCAAAATGTGAAATTATCACAACTTCTCTTTTAAATATCATCAGATGCTAGGAAAACACCTGAAATTTAATTTTTACACATTTCACTTGGCAATTAAATCCAAACTACCCTTGGGGCTTGGTTCAATTTTTGACCTGATACAGCATTGCCATCTAATGGCAAAAGATGGTAACTGCAGACCATAGAAAAGACTGAAATGCATCTAGAATTTTGATAAGCTTTTTACATATGTTATTTGATTCAGGCCTTTCAAAAACATATGAAGATTAAGAGGCTCATATTTACTCACTGAGTTGTTTCTGCAGCTGCATTTGAACTGCTAAAGATCAAAACCATGATTTAAAGTGGTACTTACAATTGCAGACAGAATTTTAGATATATATATTAGAATTTTATTTTATTTTTTTTTGTTTTTGTTTTTGTTTTTGTACTGGGGATTGAACTCAGGTCCTTGTGCTTGTATATTAGAATTTTAAATCTGTAATAATCCGTAAGAGATGGGATTATCTAATCTTAACTATAGGTTGCTTCAAAGTCTGATCTTGTTCCTGGAGGGAAATAGTATTTATTGGGTTGGTCCCTCTATTTGTATTGTTCCCATCACTAGATCTCCAGTGTTTCTACTTCTTAACCTTTGCTGGGCTTATGTGATCATGTTGATAGAGAATTGCCATTGTTCATTTGATACTACAATCTTATCAAATACACATGTGAATTTTAATGTAGGAGCTTTCAGGAGATAAAAATGAAAAAGCTCTTCTGTGTGACTTATTTTCACCCTCTAACCCTGCTTGCAACTTTAGGGACCAGTAAAAATAATTTGTAGTGTTTTTTCTTCAAACTATATAACCAATTGAGAAATGAGACAAAAGATAAGTGGAAATCAGAGCATCAACTTTCCTACTGAGAAAACTGATGACAGAATATATCTTTAGATCTGTGGCCCAGTACACTTTTAATACTTCACTTCTGAATTGAAGAAAAATGCCGATCTTGTTAATGGCACAACTGGACAGCTGCAGACCTCCCCCATGAAGGCAGAGGCTGCCCCTGTAGCAGGACATGAAGGAGCATGTGCAGACCCTTCAAACCAGCTGGTCTGAAAAAGAGAGGAATGCACAGCCAAGTGATCCTGGCTCCAAGCTTATGGATCTGCAAAGGTGTTGCTGCTTTCCTGGGCAGTTGTAAGTGAAGAGATGGAGAAAAACTAGGAGTGTATTCCCTACTTTCTACTGCTAGTGAAATTCCCTTCCCCAGGAAAGGAATGAGGACTCAGTATACTCTCAACACCTGACCAAGTCGTTTTGCCATTTTTAATGAAAAGTTGTAAAGAAGAGAAATCTTGCCCTTTAGTTGGATTGAAAATCTGCTGCAGGTGACACTGCAGGCATAAATAGGAAAGATGGAGTTCCTAGTGAAAGCCATCTTTGTAATAGCTGGAAAGTACGTGTGTTCTAAGGTATGACAGGAATAATAGATTTTTCCTTTACAAGATAGCTTTTGAGAGTAAGTGAATTTTTATAATTTTGAAAAAATGTACACAGAAATATTTGGGCCATTACTAATTTTATAAGAAGTCAGTTAATCAGTAAATATTTCTTATTATGACTTTTGCTGCTCAGTGAACTGGGATAATTGGATAACTAGGTGATGAAAATCCCGTCTCTTGCATTAGGGGTGCATTTGTCCTTATTTTCTCTGCTATTTCTTTAGACTAGTGCTTTCAGCAAATTGCTGCTCAATCCAGGCTTATCTCCTCTAGTAAGATACTGAATAAAAGTTCTCTGTGAACTGCTTTGAAAGAACCAGCTGAATGGTGTGGTAGCTTTCATTGCTCTTTCAGTCTGTTTTCAATGTGTTTAGCCCCAGAGACGTTCTTGTGTTGAAGCAGTTCTCATCACTTCTCTCAGGAATGACTCACAGGGTACTACTCTTTCAGGAGTTTATTGTTTGCTTGTTTGTTTGGGTACCAACGATTAAACTAAGGTCCTTGCACTTGCGAGGTAGGTGGCAGAACCACTAAACTAAATCCCTGGCCCAGGAGTTTATTGTTTTAATGGACAGATGTTCTATTACTTTTTTTTTTTAACTCGGGTCCTTGCACTTGCAAGACAGGCCACCGAACTGCTGAGCTAAATCCCTGGCCCTTGTTTTATTACTTTTTGGTCATTCGCACAAACTGGAAAAAAAATACCCAGATGTTTTCTTTATACAATTTAAAACAAATGCAATCTGGACTGCAGACATTGTGACTTCATCTCCTTCTTCACATTGAGCCCTCAGTATTTATGTGCACTTACAAGAAATGTTTACAACCTCAGAAGCCAAATAATCTCCTCATTTTTATCTTGATTCCATGCTTTAGTTGATTTAAATCAAGATCATTGTCTTTGTCTTCAGCCATTTACCATGCACTACCATTCTCCCATGTAAGACAAAGTAAATGTTTGCTCTGTTTGGGTTTCCTTCTTTGGTTAAGGATCCAGTTAGAAGCTGGGAAATATTCTTGATTGGCTTGCTTATTCTACTTTGGGGTTTATTAGATCCCTCAAATCTGTGGATTGGTTTCATCCATCAATTTTGTAAACCTTAGACATTACCTTTGTACATAGGCCTGTGTCACATTTTCTCTGTCTACCTTTTTTTCTATATTCTTTATTTTACTTGTCCTTTTCTATTTTCCATCTTTTGTCTCTCCATGCTTCACTCCAAAGTTTCTTTGAAACTTAATTCTTTTGCTGAGTTTAATTTGATATTAAACTCATTCATTTGGTATCCTAATTTCAGTCATGGTATTTTTCTGTTCTGGAAAATCTGTTTGGTTTCTCTTTTTGTCGTTTTCCTTCCCTATTCAAGTGTAGTATTTATATTTTTTAGCATGGTAAGCATCTTTTTTATAGCTTGTATTTGATATTTAAATTTTTGAGGTTTCTATGGTGTCTCCCCCTGCACCCTCAACAAGACTGTCTTATTTCCAGAGCAGGTAGTGTGGCTTATTTTGATTCAGAATGTTTGAGATGATGTCTGGATTTTGTATTTATTGAAGGGTCACAGTGATTGTGTTGTTTAGCTGGGATTTTTGACCATTAAGTTAGAAAATACTAATGCTGTATAATATCAATTTCAAAGGCAATAAGAGTTTAGATTTATTCTTTCAAAGAATAGAAATGAAGTCATATAGGCACCTGACGGCAGTTCTGATCATCACTCAAATACTCCATTCAGTGCAGTGCTAGAAACTGAAAAAGTTGAAGCCTATGCATATTTTTAGATTTTTAAGTATTTGTACCAATCCTGGGTTCAGCACTGGACCAGTCAGGAGGCTGGGATTCAAGCTCATGACCCTATTTGTAACTTTAATTGATCACAGGAAATTACTTTATTTCTGTGATTTTTGCCGCAAATTGAAATTGTCACAAAATACTTGGATTTCAGTTGCCATAGTATGTTGATAAATACCTAGTCCTATGAGGGTAGCAACTACTGTTTCTCCTTCTGCCACTATCAGTACTGCCATTCCAATGATCACCTCCACCAGCAATCACATAGTCTATGCTGGAGAAGATGGCAGATGCTGTAAGTGATCTTTTTTCTATGGGGAGCAAACCAGGCCTCAGGAATAGATAGTAATACCTTTCGTTTTTATGTTTTGTAACTCTAGTCATCTTGTTTTGGTATGAATATGTTAATTTATTTCATATAAGGAAGAAAGCCTAGGAAATAAACAAATGGAATTTAGGAAACCTGTCTAAAAATGTGAGATTTATCATCCTATTTTTTTCAAAAAAATTATTTATGATTATTTAAAAATATGTCAAGTATAATGCACTAGATAGAATGCAATAAGTAAGCAAGATGTCCTATTACCTCTGTTTGTTTTGTGACTTACATTTTTTTGTTGTTGATGTTGTTAATTTATTCATTTTTTTGAAATAGGGTTTCACTACATAGTTCAGGCTGGCCTTGAACTCTACAAGGCCCAGGCTTGCCTCACAGTCATGGCACTTTTCCAGCCTCAGTCTCCTAAATACTGGGATTATGGGCATGCACCCCATGCTTGGCTTTGTGATTTATATTTTTGAGCGTCCATTTTTGGGTGATGCTGAATTTCACTTCATTATTCCTGCAAACAAATGAAGCCATAGTATGATAAATGAGGGTGCATATATAGCAAGTGGTCTTAATATAAGCACATAAGTATGAGCCTATTATCTCTTAGGAATTTAAACCAAGCATCTGTAATATTAAATATGCAGGAGAGACTGAAGTCTCTCCAATTCAGCATCTTTTCGGAGTTAATTTTTCTGTTATGCAATGTATATTTTACTCTGAATTGTGCTACTTGGCAATATATTTATATCATTAAGCTGGAAGGTGCCATTTCTTTTTATTTTGTATTACATTTTTGCTTAGCCAAACAAAACAGTTCAAAACCATCTGTAATTGGGAGTGAAGAACAAGAGACAGTAGAACATGCTCATTTTGTAGCTGAGACCTAGTTTTGGAAAGCAGAGTTGTGTTTGAAAGGTAGAATTTTCTGACTTAGCTGTAATGTATATATATATATTTTTTTTTTGGTGATATTTTCTTTTAAAAACTTTGCTTAATCTAATTTTACTTTTTCACATATGCAATACTGCAGACATGTTCCCAGATATGTGTACCCTAAATGTCAATGGTACCCCGTCAGCTAGGAAAGTTTTTACACCAGAAGCATAATATGGTGTTCTATTTCTCATATTCTCTCTCAATAGCAATGAGAAATAAATGCTTTTGGACTGGTTTGTTTGTTTATTTTCCCTGATCCTGGGGATTGAATCCAGGGAATGCTGAGGTATATCCCAGCCTGTTTTATTTTTTCCCATTTTGAGACACTGAATCATTAATTTTGAGTCATTAAGTTGCCCAGGCTAGACTTGAACTTATGATTCTCCTACTTAGCCTCCTGAGTAGCTGGGATTACAGACATGCACCACCATAGTTGTTGCACATGTTATTAAGGGCCCACTTTCTCATGCCATAGAGTGCCATCCCATTTTCATGTTCTAATTTGTGTTATTGTTCCACTCTTAAGACTAGAATACAGAGGCCTATATGTTGTAAAAATTGATGCTGATTGCAGGACAAGGGAGCTGAACTTGCTTTCTTTTTATTATTTTCAAATGAGTTGTCCTGTATGTTGATTTCAGAGTATGATAGTGATATTGTCTCCTTTCCTTTTTGTTTCACAAGATTTGGTAATTTGGGGATTCCACCTTTCAACTAATTTAGTCATACGGGTTTAAATCTCCTGTATGTATTTTATTTATTTACTTGTTGTTATTATTTTTTAAACATAGATTTCCTATAAGAACCAGGACAGTGAAATAGGTTTGTCATGGGCTTTGATTTTAACTTATTTTAAGGGAGCAGACTGTATAGCATTGGTAGAATATTTAAAGGTCATGACATCAGCTATTAGTCTCCAAGATATCTCCAAGTCAAAATTATTAATTTCTCTGCCATGGGAAAAATATGCACATAACAGCAAGCTTCTTTTTCATGTACTCTTTAGCTTGGCAACATCTGCATCTGGGAGTATTATTTTTTGTTGAGAGAAGGAAACTATTTCTTTCGCTAAGAATCCTCCAAGTTCCTCTTATTCCCACAATGGACAAATTACGATATAGTTGGAATCTAAGTTTGTAAGTCTGGGGACAATACATAAACACATTTTTGGCCTACCAAAATAGTTTCTTTGTAAATAGTTTAAGGTTCTAATATTTTATCCTTGCAATTTTGAATTTCTCTCCTTTTTTCCTTTTCTTTCTTACCTAGATGTGGTGGATAACTTCTATCTATAATGAGGTGTGTAGAATCCCATTTACTATGTAAAATACAAAGTAAACTCATATCTTTTGGGTTGGGTAAAGATGTTAGCACAATTATGGAAGATTTGTGTTTGCTATGATGTAGGGAAATAAGTAGATTTTTGAATGGTGAAATGTGTTTTTACTTGGAGTAACTTTTGGCCTCTCCAGTTTCATCATTCTCTGTGAATAACATGTCATTCATCACATCAAATTGCCACTTTTTCAACTATTCTGCAGGGTTTCTCTCAATAGATTAATGACTCAGCCTATTTCTAACCATTAAGGACTGAGATTAAGTTTCAGACATATTCCCAGAAGTGATGTGTTCTTCATTTTCCTTCTTAGCCAACATGAGATCTGTTTATTCCTTGATGTACTTTCCTGTCATGAATCTTATCTTTATTTGACTGATAGAGTGATAACTATGTCTGGGTTATCTGTTCTGTTGCATTTGGTTGTGTAAAGGTGGTACAAGATCAGAATGTCTAAGATTTTTGTTTGTTTGAACTGGACATTATCCTCAGTCACGCCTCATGAGCTTGCTGGGGACTTGATCTTTATTGATTCTCCCGTCTCAGAAAGTAGAGAAAATAGGTAAACCCAAAAAGGAATAATTGGAAAAAGCTCCTGTGGAGCAGGGCTGTTGCATGGCAGAATGATTCAGTGGCTGTGGGGCAATGTTATTGATTGTGAATCTGTCATGAATTGTTTTTATAAAGCCTCTTTTTTTGGTCTTATAACAAGCATTATTTAAGTAAAGCAGAGATACTTTAAATGAGGATACTGTAAATATTTTAATGATTGTTTTAATAAAATTTAATTTTCTTGGGAAATATACATTTGATTATATAAATAAAATTACTTCATTAAATTAAAAGATACTGTCAAATTTTAAGCTAGAATAAGTTTCAGAGTTACAAAGATAAGTAACAGAAAATAAGAGTGAATATTAAATCATGATGAAGGCTTTGTAAGCATACAAAGAAATAGATTTTGTTTTTGTATTCTATAAGCACAAAAAAATAGATTGATGATTTTTTTTGTTTTTTCTTTTTTTCTTTTCTTTTCTTTTCTTTTTCTTTTTTTTTTTTTTTCTTTTTTTTGGTGCCAGGGATCAAACTCGGGTCCTTGTATTTACAAGGCAGGTGGCAGAACCAATGAGCTAAATCCCTGTCCTGTTTTGTTTTTTTTGCTTTTCTTTTCTTTTTTTTTTTTTTTCTTTTTTTTGGTGCCAGGGATCAAACTCGGGTCCTTGTATTTACAAGGCAGGTGGCAGAACCAATGAGCTAAATCCCTGTCCTGTTTTTGTTTTTCTTCTGATATGTGTGTCCTACCAAACACAGCTTACCTTCTGTTTATTAAAGAGTAAGGAATCTGACTCCAGGCTGAAATCCTATGTAATTTTTTAGCCTGAGTGTAGACAATTACATACAGTGGCTTTACCTGGAAAGCTTCATGGTGATTTCTGAAGGTCCCCAAACCCCTAACTTCCACTCCCATTGCACAGCTGGTATATTATACTTTCTAAGGAGTTGCAGTAAAGGAAATTGAACAGTCATGCTCTTTTGCCTGTTTGCATTCCCAGCCCAGGTGTATGCTAGGCAAGTGCTGTACTACTGAGCCACGTCCTCAACCCTTTTTAAAGTTTTATTTTGAGACAGGGACTCACTGTGTGGCCCCTACTAGCCTTGAACTTGCAATTCTGCTTCATCCTCCCAAATGGCTGGGATTGCAAGTGTAGAAAATTAAATTATCTCCTTATTTTACTTTCCATATTTAGATTGAAAAAATAAACGAGAAAGGCAAAAACCTAGCTTAGACCTGTATAATTCTTTATATACTTCATAGAATTTTCATATGTATTATCTAGTTTGATCTAATATTAGGGATGGTTACATTAATAACATGTAGTAACATTTATTGAATATTTATTTTGTGCCAGGTACTTTCCTGAATTTACCTTTAAGGAAGGTACTATGCTAAGTTTTCTTTATCCCACTCAAACTTTGTTATCATATTTATTTTTCAAATGAGTTGATCTCTTTACTTGAAAAAATATTTTTCAGTCCTTTTGCATGCTCTTTAAATTTACATTTGTCAGCTGCTGCTAATTTTAGCCTGAAATTTTTGGTGTTTCATGGGCCACTAGGAAAAACAATACATTTTCTTGGGTGTTGTATCTACAGATTGATATTCGGAATATTTGAGCATAACTCAAAGTTTTTAAAAAGTTGCTAAAAATGCTTCTGTTTTTATCCTCATTAATTGGCATCTAATTATAGCATGTTGCATGACTTTCAAGGTGCAGAAAGAGTTGTATGAGAATCATTACTCAGTAGCATTTTATAAATAAAAAATAACCATAGCTACTCTTTTGTATTTACTACAGGTGAGTCACTATCATTTCTATCCATTATTTATTTAATTCAGGTATCGGGTCTTTAAAGATGAAGAAAACCAGGGCATAAAGACTCCATGTCTTATCTTGGGTTACATAGCTTTCCATAGTAAATAGAAGATCTAGGATATGAATTTTAGCTCTAAAGTCCTTATGTGTCACCACTATGGTAGGGTTTTCCATGGTATCATCCTCAAATCACCCACTGCCCAGGTGATTGTTAGAAATGCAGATTTCTAGACCTCACCTCAAATCTGCCAAGTCTGAATCTTTATGGATGAAAAATGGTTTTTTCTTGTTGCTGTTTTGTTATTCAGTTGACTTTTATGACCTAAAGTTTGAGAACCATTATGCTATGCTGTTGTATGAGCATTATCATGTTTTAATATCTATTAGCCTAGAAGGATGGCCAGGATGAATAAATTATCCTTATTCTTGGAATATTGGAGTACCTGAAATTTTGAATTGCTCTGTATGCTTTTGCCTTTGCTTTCAGGTTGTTATGGATTTTAAGCACCCAGATGGCATTGCAGTGCAAGTTATGTTGCCTCGTCGGAGTTTGCTAGTGATGAGAGGAGAATCTAGATATCTTTGGACCCATGGGTATGTACTGAAATGACCTTGATGACAGGGCGACTTTTACTTTGTGAGACCTTTCATTCTTTTCTGTCTAAGCCAGTAAAATCATGTCCTGTGCCTGCACATTGAAACTTCTGGGTTCAACCCTCCTAGGGGCATCTGCAACTTTTCTTCTTTCCGTTTTTTATTTTCAAACTTAAAAGCAAATTTGCAAGGATAGTAGAGTGAACTCCCTTTACTTTTCACCTAGATTTATCAATTCTGAAAATTTTGCCACATCTTATATGTCTTGCTTTTGTGTGTTATCATTATCAGCTTTGCTGAATCACTTGAGAGAAGCACATACCATAATTCTTTACATTTAACATGTTTCATCGAGTATTTCCTAAGAGCAAGAATGTTGTCTGTATCCATGATTGACAAACCATGGCTTGTGAGGGAAATTTAGTTCTTATCCTATTGTTGTGCAGCACTTAAGCTGAGAGTGGATTTTATATTTTTTAAGGATTATAAAGCAATACAAAAACAATGAAGAATACTTGACTTTATATGCTCTTTAGTGCCTAAAATATTTGCTATCTGCTCCTTTACAGAAAAGATTGGCCAACCCCTGAAGACACTCAAAACTGATAAAATATTCTTATACAAGCCATATTCAGATTTTGCTAGTTGTGTAGTGCAATACTCTATAGTAAACTTTCTCTGATTCAGGATTTAGTCTGTGATCCTGCATTATCTTTAGTTGTTAATTCTGTTTAGTCTTTTGTTTGTTTTAGCATTTTATTTTTAATTAGTCTTTTCTTACTTTGTCTTTTATGACAGTGATTCTTTTGAAGAGACCAGTTGCATTATAAAACATTCCCTCAATTTGAGTTTCTTTGATTTAAATAAATCTAAAGAAATGGGTTATATGCTTTTGTTTAGACTGCCTTTTGAAGAAAGAGCATTCTACTGCTGAAATTTATAATTGTCACTTAAAATATTGATAAGTTCTGTATTTTAAAGTTCTACTTAGAGATTTTAACTGACAAATTTTTAATAAAATATCAAGAAAATGAACATGTAAATAAATTTGTGACCTGTCCTAAATGTGAGCCATAAAAAAGATGGCTTGAGCTGGGCGTGGTGGTGCACGTAATCCCAGCCCTCGGGAGGCTGAGGAAGGAGGATCACTGAGTTTGAGACCAGCCTGGGCTACATAGTGAGTTCCAGGTCAGTTTCAACTACATAGAGACCCTGTTAGATTTTAACTGACAAATTTTTAATAAAATATCAAGAAAATGAACATGTAAATAAATTTGTGACCTGTCCTAAATGTGAGCCATAAAAAAGATGGCTTGAGCTGGGCGTGGTGGTGCACGTAATCCCAGCCCTCGGGAGGCTGAGGAAGGAGGATCACTGAGTTTGAGACCAGCCTGGGCTACATAGTGAGTTCCAGGTCAGTTTCAACTACATAGTGAGACCCTGTCTCAAAAAAAAAAAAAGATGGCCTTATTTTGTATACTAGGGCTTACATTTATTTGATTTATAAAAATTCATGGCTAATAAAATATTTGTACTTAAAATAAGTAATATAAGTGGTCATAGTGATGTGATCCATTGGCCTCATATATTTATTTAAACTTTTGAAAAATATTAATATTACAGCAAATATAAAATAAGGAATTACTTTTCCTATATTGTGAAATATTTTAATCTATTCTTGATAGTGGCATAAGTTCTAAAACATTTTTTTCTTTTTTTAAGGAAACATCATTATGATCATATTATTCTCTTGTGAAAAGCATATTGTAAATAAGAACTAAGATATATCATGTAAAGGTACAAGATGCCAGTGATGAATGTAACTGTACGATATACCTAAAAAGTACCAGTAAACTCAATGAAATTTGATCAGGGATCAAACTTGGGTCCTTGCACTTGCGAGGCAGGCAGCAGAACCACTGAGCTAAATCCCCGGCCCAATGAAATTTTTTTAAAAAGCATATTGTGCTATTTCTGGAAGGTTGAAATATTAATTAATTAATTAATTATCGGGTTTTTTTTGTTGTTGTTGTTGTTGTTGTTTTTGAGACAAAGTCTCTTTGTAGCTCAGCCTGGTCTTGAATGCATGATCGTCCTATCTCAGCCTCCTGCGTGGTAGTATTACAGACATGCATCACCAGGTTGACCTGGATTATTAATTATATTTATTTAGGAATTGTTGCTCTAAAATCAAAATTCTAATATTTTGAGGGGAAATTACTGTTGTTTTAGAAGGATTACCTTGGGACCCATTGCCTGTAATGTGACTGAGAGACTGTAAGAGCATGGTGGGAGGTGCGTTCAGAAAAGAGAGATGGAAAAGGGGAAGGGAAGGAGGCAGAGTCAAGGAGAGAAAAAGACACCAATCAAACACTGAAATATCAGATGTTTGGTGAAAGGGAAAACGGGTTTGAAAACGCATGTTTATACCTTTAAAAAGTATTTAAAGTACAGGAAGTAAACCTTGATAAAGTTTTTGATTTCTCGCCTAGAAGAAAAGCAGTACAATCAACTGTAGAAGGACATGGATTTAGAAAGGCTAATATTGCCCTCTATTATTAAACACCTTAATCTAAATTTAATTTGATCAAATTCAAGTTTACTCTTCCAGCAACTGTCCCCTTAATCAAAGCTGGTAGCACATGGGTGAATTTAACAGATATCCTTTGTTTGGTTTGTGCAGTGGTTGTCCATATGGTGGCAGGGTTTGTTTTTGTTGTTGTTGTTTTTTGTTTTTTTGCCTCAATTTAAAAAATAAATCATGAGTTTTCACATAAAGCTCTGGATTGTGAACTTCTATTGAAAATTGAGAACATCTGGCAACACTGGGCTGTAATATTGCTTGGCAGCAGTGATCAAGACTGAATTCAGTGTCATTCTGTAGATGGGTCCTGCTTCTCCAGTTCTGTAGACTTCCTGTCCTTTTCTATTCCTCCCTGATAAATGGTCGAGTGTCTGTTATTACTTATCAGTGTGCATGCACAATTGTTTTTATCTTATAACAGAATTAAATGTAAAGTAATACTTCTTGAACTCATGTGTGTATCAAAAGTAGGAAATGGAAGCTACACGGGGTGAGAATATGTTTCCAGAAAATGGAAGAGAACACTCCACTTTTTTGAAGTGAAGACTGTTTCTGTGTGTTTGCTAGATAATCTGCTTGCTTCATTTATGTTACGTGACTGGCCTTGCGAGACATTTGTTCATGAGATTATGTAAACTCTGCTTTTAAATTGTTTTTGGAGCATTTTCTTTGTGCCAGCATGATTCCAAAGGCTTTCACATATATTCACTCATTTACTTCCTATGACAGTGGAAAGTTTATTCCATTGTTTTGTCTCCGTCTCCGTATTTTAAGGGAGATTGGAGAATAAAGATGTTAAGTAACTTGTACAAAGCCACAAAGCCAGTAAGTAGTTGAGCCAAGACCAGAAGCCAGGCAGTCTGCCTGTGGGCTCTGTGTTCTCAAACAGTGTTAGTTAGAGCTGCGCCTGTTTGCTCCCTTCCTCTGAGCTTCTGCTGTGCTTCCTGGCTTTCACACCTTTGTCAACCCTCAGTGCAGTATGTTTCCTTTTCCTTTCTGTTTTTAAGATACACTCAACTTTTACTTTCTTCGTAATTTTATAAAGCTTTTTGTGGCTATATTAGCTTGAAATAATTTATCCATTAGCTCCTAAAGACTATATTACCTCCTACTATCTTGTGATGTCTCTTCTATTAATTGAATTATTATTTAAATCTATAAAACTGTTCATCTTTTTACTATTTTCTCAATATAGTTTTAATATTTTTGGCTACTAGAGTAACAGTAATATAAATTCAGGTAATGACTGCTTGTTTTGACTTCTTTAAAAATGCCTCTAGTACAAGCTTTAGAAAAGAGCCATTCTACTAACTTGTTTTAAAGCAGGCAGTACTCTTGACACCAAAACATGTCAAAGACATTACAAACAGATGATAGACTACTTCTCTCATGACAGAGAAAGAAAATCCTTAACAAAAAATTAGAATGTGTGTAAGAAAGTAAATTATGCAATCCTGTAATACATAAGAAAGAAAATACGTTATGGCAAAGTAGAGTTTACCTCGGTATTGGAAGTTGTTTTAGCATGTTGAGATCAGCCCAGTCAGTATAGTTCATCACATTAAAAGAATAAAGGAGAGAAAACATAATCATCTCAATTGATGCAGGGAATATATTTGATAAAATTCTCTGCCCATTTATGATAAAAGCCCAGCAAACTAGGATGAGAAAGGATAAAGAGTAGCCATGAAACAGTCATAATTAGCATCATATCTAATAGCGAGCTATTGAATTTTCTTTCCTAAAATACTAAATCAGAAATGTCTACTCTTGTCACTTCCATTTATTGTTCTATTGGATATCTTACTCTACTCAAGATGATGTCAAAAAAAAGAAATATAAATCATAAATAATGATTTGAAATCATATAGTAAAGTTCATTTGTGGATTTTATTAATATGGATGTAGAAAACCCTAGGGAGCCTACAAAACAAGTGGTAGAACTAATAAGTGAATTTAGTAGCATTCAATACTCAAAAATTAATTTTTGGAAAATAAAAGTGCTATTTAAAATAGCATAAGACCTATAATATACTTCCTTTCCAATACTCATAATTTATTTATTCATTGTAATATGGTTTAAAAGCAATAAGCCTGGGAATTAGGATTCTAACAACAGTTGTAATGTAACAACAGTACAATGACAAAATAAAAATTAAGAATTAAAATTCAGCTGGAAGTGTGGCATGCACCTGTAATCTCAGCTACTTGGGAAGCTAAATCTGGAGTGTTTCAAGTTTGAGTCCAACTCAGGCAAGAGTGAGACCTGTCGGGGCCTGGGATTTAGCTCAGTGGTTCTGTCATCTGCCTTGCAA